AGTTTGAAGGTAAGTTTTTGTGAGGCTGGTCAGTAGTGGTGTTGATTGTTTATATATTAGACTAGTGCAATGATCAGTGTTTCCCAGTCCCTGGCCATCTAAAAACGCAGTGTGGAATTACAACCTTTGAGAATCCTGTTTAGGGGAAGCTCACTGGCTGGCTAAAAGGATACCAGCTGTGTGACCTGTTGATGTCCATCTGTGAGTATTGAAGTCTTCCACTTTGAAGAGTGGAAAGCGAAGAGATGCTGCAAACTGTCCTTCTTGAAGTTCCTGGATGCCCATGGATCTTGCAGCGGGTACAAAGGTAATGTCTAGGAGGACATGGTCCCTGGACCAGAGGTGGGTTTCACTCTTTTCCCATCTTTAATTTTTCTTTAACCAACTCCAAATCATTCTGTGACCCCTTAATTTATTTATTTTTTTCTGAAGGATGTAAAGTTACTTTTGGAGTAGGCTGTGTTAAGCTCTTGGACATCTTCAAATGGATAATGTCATGCTGTAATGTGCTAAACGTTTTTTTTTCTTTTCGGCCTTTTCTGGGTTTTGTTCCCTGCTTGGGTGAAGCACTCCCACACTGACGTCCACTGGACTGGCTGTCATTCTGGCTCAAAGACTGAATTAGTTTTGTATCTGATTTATTTCATGGGTGCACACATGTAAATAAATCACTTTGGATACACTGCAGTACAACAGTGACTTGGCGCACCAGCAGCCTCTTCCACTGCAGACTCCTTGCTGGTTATGTCTTTGAGGAGACAGCATGTCAGCCAGGTTCTCTTGATTGGTGTTGGCACAGGAACTGATTTCCTCACAGGGGAGGAACTGCGATGGATCCCACCCCCTGTGGCACGAGCCCTGGACTGGGGGTTTTCTCTTTGCTCTCTGCAGGGTGTTTTACTGTTGGTTTGTCTGGGACAGATGCTGCACTGTGTCCATGTTGGAAGTGGAAATGCTGGCTTGACCATTTCTAACAAGTGCAGAGGCCTTTGCTCCAGAGAGGATCTTTTATCACCAGGAGTGGAGAACAGATGGTGCTTGTTCCAAGACAGTCAACGGTAACATCAAAGGATCTAGTCAGGTGAGTGGGTCAGGTGAGTCCCTTTCCATCCAGGAAGAGAGATGGGGCATTTTGAGCATAATGAGCACACTGGGTACATGGGGTTTTAATCAGGTACATTTGGGTACTATGGGTATATGTTGGTTCATTTGGGTACATTAGTGTAGACTGCATATCATGTTACATGGGGTACATTGAGTCTATTGGGCAGGCAGCTTTTGGCATTTGCATGGGAGTTGCAGCATACAGTGTAGTACATCTAAAAACTCAACATGTTACTCTTGGATTTTATCATTTTTTATACTTAAAATACACTTGAAAGACCCTGTTATCAGAGGAATATGGGACAATCTGAAAGCCTTGTATTATCTTTAGTTAATTTAATGGAGAATTGAATATTTGAGAATCTTAGATTTTGTAATTTAAACAGTTCTAATTTTTTCTCTTAGTGTCCAAGCTTATAAGGCCTTGGAAGAGAAGCAAGTTGATCTATGTCCTGGGTAAGCAGGTAAGAACATTTTGGATTATTTTGTTTGGGTTTGTCGGGGTTGAGGGAAGGGATAAGTTGGTTAGCTGACTGTTTTGAGAAGGATGAACCTGTAATTTGCAACTTGTGTATGTTGGTTGAAATAATGTTTTAAACAAGATAATAGAACTGAATTTCTCCCTTGTGGTAGGATTCCTGCACCATGGGTTTTTGCTTTTGCACTCTACAGGGTGGTTTTCTGTTGGTTTGTCCTGAAAAGGTGAAGCACTGAACAATATGGTAGTTTAGGTCAAAACTGATGTTGGGAGTGGGAATGTTGGCTGGACCATTTCTGACTAGTGCAGAGGACTCAGTCCAGTTTCTTATTTTTCCTTGAGGTTCGCTGCTGTTGGGGGGATGACCATGCCTTTGCTGCTGAGGGAGGACCTTCACTAGGACTGGACCCCAGATGCAGCAGACTGGATAGTTAGTTCTGTCTGCGAAGATCTGCTTGAGAAATCATGTGCCTGTTCTGATTCCAGAAGCCAATGGCCACATCAGAGGACCATCAAAGCTGCTTTAGAAGTTCCTAACATGGTGCTGTTCATGGTAAAACAGGAGCTGCATGAAGCTCTAAGTGAATCTCTGCACACCAGCCTTGTAATGGCTGTTAGGACCATGGCTTGTAACTTCAGCACCTGGGCCACCTGGTAGGGAGGAGACAAAGTGATTTCTGGTGTAGGAACGGAGAAAGAGTTGGCAGTTGGTAACTTTGTAGCTGTTTTGCACATTCTAGGCCATTTGAAAAGCAGAGTTTGAGAGACTAAGGTCATGCAAGGATTTATTTGCATGGGTGCACACATGTATGTAAATCTTGCATTGGCTTTAGAGTAAAACCGAATTGAGCACATAAGGTAGAAATAAATAAAAGGAAAACTAATGCTATTCAACTAACTTGGAAAAGTGGGATTGGTTTAGCTGAGTGTCACTCTTTTTTGGTACCTGCACAGAAATCCCTTTGTCATGGGAGGGGATTTCCTACAGAATGAGGTAGGAGAAAGATGGGGTTTGTTTGTTCTGTTTTGTGAGAAGGAATATGTAGTTATGTGACTTTGTAAATCCTTTGCCAGAGAATGTCCTCATGTATTGGATATCTATTTGTTTTGTTGGTGTGGGATGATGTACTGAGTCTGTTTTCTTCTGTTTCTTGTATGTTGATTTTGGTTGTACAAGGTGTTATATTGAGTAAATACTGGCACTGGATATGCTTTTCCCTGCATTGTTTTATTTGGTCATCTTGCACCCTAAATTGTTTCTTTGGTTTCACAATCAATTTTTACTACTGAGGGTTTAGGTCACACTCTTTGGGTACATTTATTTGGTGTAGGTAGATGATGTTTATTAACAGTTACAATTTTGTTTTTAGTGATCTAAGGATTTGTATACATTCCCATATTATGAAAACCTATGGTGTTTGTAGAGAAAGTAGGTGAGTTTAAGGTATATATTTTAGACGTTGACAGTGTATAACCCCAAATTGAAATTCTGTTTTGGGATTATGAAAGTGTTTTTAAATTTTCCACTTGGTGGTTTGTGCATAGTGAAAAAGTGTAGAAATGAATATGCACATTTATTCCTGTGTTGTTTATATGTTGGTGTGGCATTATGCAGAGGTTGAGCCCTGGTAGAGGGGTGACTCCTTGTCTTTGTAGTCCCAGCTGTCTTGGCTTCTAGCTCGTGAGCCTCAGCTGGGCGGGTCCTTTAAAAGCACACTGGACACCCTCTAATGAGAGGAGCAGAGCCACCCCTAGAAGATGGAGTTTTTACACCAATAGTCCTGCAGGGGATTGCACATGTCTAAGGCTTTCATTTTCTTTTTTGCCTGTCCCTTTATGCACTTTCATAGGGGAAGGCAAGCTCATGCATCTTTTTATGCGCTAAGTTTGTTTTTGTTACCTTACACACCCTGCTCACCAGACTGGACCCCATTGAATAGCAAAAGTCCAGTCTGTTCACTGCTGTGCTAGCAGTTTTTTTTCCCCCCAAGCTGGACCCCATTAAGTAGGTTAAGCCCAGGTGGAGGTAACATGGCAGTCGCTTACTTTATTTTTTCACTTTTTGTATTGTTTTTGTTCCCAGCTAACCTCACACTGGTGCTTCTGTCTCCTCAGCTGGGGTGTTTCTCCAAGTGTGGCGTCTCTCACTACACACTTTCATTTAAGAGTAATTGCTGTATAATTTCAGTTGTGTTGTAAATGTTTTTAAGTCTTCCATTCCAATTTCCTTTTAAGTGAAATTGTCCAAAAAGCAGTATACTTAAATATGCTGTGTAGTATATCAGGTTTATTGTATTTTCAGTGAATTTGGCTGCTGACATTCGTACATCGTACATCTCTCTTAATGTAACAGTTGATGCCTTTTAAAGGGGTTCAAATGTGTAAGACTGAGTTAGTATAAGTACTGCTACAGATGAAGTAATTTCATACTGTATGGATTGAAACTACATTGCAAAGGAAAGTGCTATCTTTGTAAAACCTTGTTTGTGAAATATTTATGTAATTAGTTGGTGTGAAATTGTTATAACTGAAATTGTTATAGCTGTAAACATTTAGATTACAGAGTAGGCCGTTTGATTTTGATTGAGAACAACTGTTCACATACGTACGTACAGCCAAATACTGCTATACACTTTAAGAGTAATTGCTGTATAATTTCAGTTTTCCATTCCATTTCAAGTGAAAATGTCTGAAAAGCGGTTTATATTGTACACAAACACCTTGTTTGTGAAATATTTATGTAATTAGTTAGTATGAAATTGTTATAGCTGCAGCAGTTTTAGATTACAGAGTAGGACAACAGCAGGAATATAATAGTTTATTTATGAAAAAAGGAGTTGTCAGAATTGTATGGAGTTGTGTAGAGGTTGCAGTTTGGGGTAGAGACAACTGATAGCCATGCTGGTAGTACAATGGGTTAAAGTAATGGTCTAGAAAATGTAAGTGTTATACAGTTTTAAACTGTAATTAGATTGTTTGGTTAGTGAGGTCTGGTTTAAATGAGTGATAATTGCCAACTAGGAGGTATAAATCCATTTACAATGGTTTAACCATACAGCTCACTGCACTGCTGAAGACTGGATGGGTTGCCAGACCATTCCTCAGGTCTCATCATACCAAAATGTAATTAACCCACCTCCATGCTCCTGGACTGTGGCAGAAAACCCTACAACTTGGAAGAAACCCACAACTGAGGAGAGAATTACATGAGCACTCCAAAACTGGATCTGAACTAGTTTTCATAAATAAAATGTAATGTGTAGAAAAATAAACTGGTGACACAAGTACCATGTGTAAGGAGTGTTTATTTTTATGAGCACTGGGTGGACGAGTCCTTGGCAACCACAATGATGTCCTGGAGAGAAGCAAGAATGTGCCCATCGACTTAAGCAATAGTATGTATCATTCATAAGGTACATAAAAATAGGCTGGTTTAACATGAGTAATTATCATGTCATAAACTGTTGGGTTGCTAGTTGATTCACAGCAGCCTTTTATTCATCATTTTTAAAAGAATCCAGGGTGTTCAGCTCAAGGATTTGCCATGTAGTGTTTTCCAGACCATCACGGCAGTTGTGACATGTCTCCCATTCTTGCCTCCAAAGTCCTCTGGATTAACAATCAATAGGTATGTGAATCTTATTTTGAAGGGGGTGAGAGGAATTTATGTGAAAAGGTCAGATCCTTATCCAGCTTAAAGTTCAGCTGCTTGTAGACATGTAATTAAATTGAAGAAAACGGTGACATACTAAGTTCTGAAAGATTTTAAATGTCACTCTAGTTGTGCCATACTCATGTGAGCCATACGAGATTAATAGTTACTGTAGTTATCAAGGTTTTGTTGATTTATTACTCTTCTGTTTTTGGTACTGTAGCTAAAGTGCTCAGTTTATTCAAACTATTAGGGCTTAGGGGTCTTTTTCTCCAAATCCAGAGGTTAAAGTGTTATTGGTTCAGTCCAGCACAGAATTTAAGGACCTTATTATAATCTAGTTCATTTCATTAGTTAAATTCCAGTTTTTCAAGTATCTTATCTTGATTTTCTTAATCTGTTAAAGCTAATTACATTATATTAATAATTGCTTACACTTATATAGTGCTTTCCTGGACACTCCACTCAAAGCGCTTTACAGGCAATGGGAAGTCCCCTCCACCACCACCAATGTGCAGCCCCACCTGGATGATGCAAACGCAGCCATAGTGTGTCAGAACTCTCACCACACACCAGCTCTCACTGTGGAAGAGAACAGAGTGATTAAGCCAGCTCAGAGATGGGGGTTATTAGGAGTCCATGATCAGTAAGGGCCAATGGGAAATTAGACCAGGACACCAGGGTAATACCCCTACTCTTTTTGAGGAAATGCCCTGGGAGTTTTTATGACCACAGCATCTCAGTTTTACATATCATCTGAAGGACAGTGCCTTTTTACAGTGTAGTGTCCCCATCACTATCCTGGGGCATTAGGACCCACCTCACTGAAAGGTGAGCACCCCCTGCAAGCCCAAATAACAGTTCTTCCAGCAGCAACCTTAGTTTTTCCCAGGAGGTCTCCAAATCAGGTATTTACCAGGCTCACATCTGCTTAGGTTTAGTGGGCTACCATCTGGGAGCTGCAGGGTGATATGGCTGCTGGCAAGATAATGAAATAGGTCCTCTTAATTAATATGAAGCTGTTTGGAAGTTTCCACAAATTATAAAGAAAACTTTAACAAGTATGAGTAGGCTATTACAAAAAAGGTAGTAGTTTGGGTTATTAAATATCAAGCCAAGTTGAGAAAGTACTTTTCTCAACAAAAGTTTTGTTGTGGCAGCCAAGTGAATTAAATCTAAGCACTCCTTCTCTAAAATAGTTTGTAAGAAAAAGCATGGGACTAACCAGCAAATGAAAGATTTGTCCCAAAACCAGTAAAGAAACAGTACTCACCACTCTCCTCAGCTCCTGGACTCTTGAATGAAAACAGAGGCACAGGGAGTCTGCTCTTTTATCCTCTGAGCTGGGCTGCCTCCTCCCCCTCAGAATGTACCAAGTCCAGTGAAGGGTAAAACCTTCATAGCTGACAGCTATAGTGAATGGCTGAAAACAAGATTAAATTAACAAGATTAAAGCTAGCAGCCATATCACCCTGCAACTTGCAGCTGGCACCCCACTGAGGCTAAGCAGGTGTGAGCATGGTCAATACCTGGATGGGAGACATCCTGGGAAAAACTAAGGTTGCTGCTGGAAGAGGTGTTAGTGAGACCAGCAGGGGGTGCTCACCCTGTGGTCCATGGGGGTCCTAATGCCCCAGTATAGTGACGGGGACACTATACTGTAAACAGGTGCTGTCCTTCGGATGAGATGTAAAACTGAGGTCCTGACTCTCTGTGGTCATTAAAAATCCCAGGGCATTTCCTGAAAAGAGTAGGGGTGTAACCCTGGTGTCCTGGCCAATTTTCCCATTGAGAGCTGATGTGTGGGGAGTTGACTGGCGCACTATGGCTGCTGTCACATCATCCAGGTGGGGCTGCACACTGGTGGTGGTGGAGGGGATCCCCATTACCTGTAAAGTGCTTTGAGTGGAGTGTCCAGAAAAGTGCTATATAAGTGTAAGCAATTATTATTATTATAAATCAAAAGATATACAAACTCAATATAATGGGTCTATTCATTTGAAGATGGATTCTAAATTTCTCATTTTTGGGTTAAATAATGTACTACTGATTGAATCTTATGAGTGGGATGCTATTCATTGATTCTTCCTCTTTTCACTTTTGAGCTTCTCTGTGTTTGGTGATTAAGAGATTTATACAAAAGTAAGCATTCAAAGTGCATGTCTAAATATTAATATGTAATTTTACAACTAAAGATAAATTTTGGTAGCTGAGCATAAAAATAATAGGGGCATAATTTCCTTCAAGATCATATTATCATAAAATATATTAATATAGGAATATAAACATTATGTTTTTGATGTCCATGGCTGATAGTGGTAGCTTAAAAAAACTTTACAAACATTTCATGCATCAAAGTCTTTAACTATGTCACTTACTGTGGTTATTTTTTAAAAGTTTTGATGTGCTCTTTCTGACTATATTTGTAGTTAAATACTATTTTAGTATATATATTCTATGAATTATTGCTGTTTTTATTCCAGTAAAAAAGTGTACTTTTTAGAATCTGCTTGGTAGGAAATATAATATGGAATCATGTAGTAAAAGAAATTAGTAATGGTATTAAGAGATCAAAATATGATATAGTATTACCGTAGTCCACTTTCTTTGTAAAAGTTTTGTTTTTTCTGTGATTCATTCACTCTTGATTCCTTTCGGTACATTTTGACCTCTGTTTCAGCAATGGTTGCAAGTGCTCTGTTGGTGTGGTGGGTTTGGGAGGTGGGTTCCTCTCTGGGAGATCTGGGTTCAGTTCCTCCTTAGGACACACTTTTTTTCTAATAAACAGTCTCATTAAAAAGTAAATAGTAGGTACAGTATATTTTTATATAACTGCAAAAAAAGACACACCATGTTCAAACCACAAGCATGTTAAAAATAGGTTTAGATCGTAAAAATTCTTAATGCATGAAAAAGGGTAGAGCATGCTACATTCCGGTCCATGAGCATTTTATCAGGAGCTGGTTAGCTCAATTGGGAAGCATGTGGTGCTGATAACACCAAGGTTGTGGGTTCAATCCCCATATGGGCCAGGAAATCCCCTTTTCCTTGGGGCAGTGCAGTGGCTCTGTGGCTAAGGATCTGTGGCTGGCAGAGGAATCCTATGCCATTGGGCTCCTGAGTGAGCCCCCAACTGCTCTGGGGGCACAGTGTAAATGGCTGACCCTGTGCTCTGACCCCCAGCTTCTCTCCCTGTCTGTGTGTCTCATGGAGAGCAAGTTGGGGTCTATGAAAAGACAAATTCCTAATACCAAAAAATCATATATGGCCAATGCACTGATCTTATCTATTTTCCATTACCTTGATAGGGACACTAAAAGTTTTAATAATTAAATGTCAAATTGTTTCCAAAACATCACAGTTCCATATTAACATTATTATCCAGTGGTATTAACTCAGTACCACTTTTTTTATAATAACAGGAAGTGGTATTTTTACTATACATTCTTAGAGAAGGATAAAACATTATGACTTTTTATGAAGTACAGTATATAAACTTTATGTTAGAAGCAACATGTTTAAACTTTTCCATAATCCATTGTAAGTCACCAAGTTAAAGATTTTGATGCATAAAAATATGAATGAAGAAGGTGGAATACCGTTGTGTACATTTTATTATTTAGCTACCATTACCATCTACTGTGTGTACATTATTTATATATTACGTTATGCCTCTGTTTTTAATTTACAGTATAATATTAAACCTTTTTATATTTCCAACTGAGCAATCTTGTTTTTATTAAATCTACCTACTTTTTAAGTACTTTAATATTTAACATGCTGTCATACACAGTATACAATCCAATTTCTATTACTGAAAAAAGATTGAACATCCCCTTTGAATGGGATTCAAAATTGGGCATTTTCTGGTGACTGTCCAAGTGTTCCACAAAGAAGTGTAGTCCCACAACTGAGTATTTGTAAAATGTTTTGGTATCCAGCAGATCCTGAACCTCTTAATTACCCCTGCATTGTCACCCATGCATTCTGAATGTCTTGATCTGTAGATGGGCTGGCTAATACTTAGTCATTGGAAACTGGTGTGTTGCATTATAAACAATATGGCTTTGCTAATTGACCATTTCGAGGAGATGTTGGGATAGGTTCTTGCTGAATTAGCCACACCTCTGAGTTAATCATGAGGGTTTTAAAGACACAG